ACTGATTTGATATTGACCCGGTGCATCGTCGAGCTCCTCTTCATGGACAATATCAATTGGTTCCATGTTTGTATCCTCATTGGGAATGCTGGTGGATGTGGTATTGGCTGTTTATAAGATCCTATAAGAAAATTGACAAATACAATGCATGCATATTCTTATCTAAAAGGAAGGCAAGTATATACCAAAGGGCTGATGGGTATCAACTATATCCATATCACTCATCGCTTTAATTAAGCGCTTCAATGGCGACTTTTTTATGGATCATTTTTTGATAATTTTTTTTGTTTAAAGGTTGGAGATGTTCCCTTGCTGAGGGCGTGATTGCTGGTGTGTTTCAGATCGTGCTTGGGAGCGTGTTTTCATAGTCGAGTTTATTGATTTTAATAGGGGGAATAAAGGCGCAACAGGTACCAATATTTATAGAGGCTGTTTGTGCAAACGGAGTATAAGACATACGTAGAGCTTAAACAAATTTATTTCTAATATGTGATGTACGACGGCTAAACTTAGCGTTGTTCCTCTCTTGCTTCACCTATACAATTTGGTTAGCTCTTCCGTGTATGTGGCTACGGATATGAATAGTTGATACACTCTTTTCACTTTTAGCGCTAAGGTGACGTGTTCGCCGTTTCTCTATTCTTCTAGACATTACCAGTTTGATTGCTTGATGATCCAAGCTTTAGCTGCTCCAATGCTTTTGCCAGGATGGCAACATCATACTCGGTAGGAACCCAGTTTTGCTGAGCTTCTTCAATATTTTCTGTCAAAGAGTGTACTTCTTCGACAGCTGATTCAAGTTCTTCAACAGTAGGTGCCTCCAACTTTTTAGCCACACGTTTCGTGATGCTTGAGTGCTTCTTTAGTTTGTTATTTCTTACTCTTCCCATGGTACTAAGGGTCCTCACGGGCTGGGCCGGGACGGTTCTCTACCAGAACCGTCCCGAGCACAATGTACATCAGAACCGACTCGACCCGGCCCGAGAACCGACCCGAGAACCGAGATTAGAACCGAGTTCTTCAACTGCAATTTCAAGAGGGATGGAATTACACAAGATTACAATGATAATCGCGTGAATCGAAGGGAAGGCGTAATTATTGTAGTGCATAGCGAAATTTGTGAATAGAAAATGTGTTTTATTTCAATTGTGGATATACAGTATGACCGTGCGTGGTTGATTGTTGAATTAAAGTATGAAATGTGTTCTAATCGCTGATCTGGTGGGGGAATTTCAGAGAATGCCGGAAAAAAGATTGCTGTATCAATTGTGTAATGACGTGTGTACAGATTGCTGAGAAGAGAATTTTGACGTGCCTTTGGTTTGGTTCGCAGCATTAAACGCTGCGTGCTCAGCAGTGCTAATTATACTTATACTGCTAGTAACGAATGGACACGAACGATTAAAGGAAGAACACTAAAAGCAAAAATCGCGCACTCAGCAGTGGTACAGCTCAGCATGCTGCTGACTTCTAAAAACTTCCTTTTACGAAATGACAGGCGAGGTATTACTTAGCACTATTTGAAGAGAAGCTGCCGTTTGGTATCATTATCCTCAACGCGTCATGAAAAGTATAAAAGCAACAACTTTATTTTTGGGCAAAATAACTCAACTATTTACTTACATACAGCTTGAACCATTCTACTCTATATCCGTACCTTTTTATATCACATCCAACGCAATGACCTACCCAAACTACTCAGTTGGCTCCAGCTCTGACGACGCTCGTGGTGCTCTTTCTGATCGCGTAAGATTAATCTAGGATACTCCATCATATGCAATATCACCTGCAACCAGCTGACGATAGTACCATTTTATAGAGAGAGTCCAGCCGTAATTCGTCCTTATCCAACACAAGTCGTTCGTTATCAAGTTTTGTTCCTCCTTCCCTAGCCCGTGATCAATCCAACGTCTCTATGGCGTCAGTCGGTTCGCATGTAAGGGACACTGATGAAGAGTGCTTCGATGATTCCGCTTCCATGATCGACCACCAAGAAATCACACAGCTTGCCGGTGACGGCGCGAACATTGACACGAGCGGTAAAGAAAAGCAGTCAGTAAGCAGCTGGGTTCTCACTCATGAATACGGCAAACGCGTCTCTATCAACGGTCAACCGAAAATCAAGTGCCAGCGGCCTGGTTGCAACAAGGTGTACGACGCAAAGCAAGGTAATACGTCTGGGCTTGTGAAGCACCTGAAGAATGTCCATCGAATCACGCAAACAACTGGTCCGCACGTTCAGGGGAACAAGCGCCAAGCCGGCCCAATGGACCAGTATGTCGAATTTAAGCGTAAGCGTACGTTTGAAAAGGGCGCCTTCCAACGACAATTCGTCAAATTTTTGGTCAAGAGCAAGCTCCCATTTACTTTGGCCGAAAGCGAAGAATTGCAGGAGTTGTTCTACATGGCACAATCAGCACCTACGCAAGAATCCGTCAAGCTTTTGAATGCTGACAGTATGTCGAGAAAGGTAAACTTCGTTTCATGTTTTGTTAAACAAGGATTCAGACATATACTTAACTTTCACTGAAATAGCTGGACGAAGAATACGTCAGAGCCAAAGAACAAACCGCCGCCTTGCTCAAGAGCGTGCCAAAAATTTCTTGCACCGTCGACAGCTGGACCAGCCCATTCCGGCAAGAATTTCTTGGTGTGACAGCACACTGGATGTGCAGATCGACGTGGACTCTGCAAGAAGTTCGCCTAGGGTTCTAGCCTTTGGAAGGTCCACATACTAGAGAGAACCTTGCCGACGCCTTCTTGAAAGTCTTAGATGAGTTCGATCTTTGTTCGAGGCTTTTCCACAATTACGAGTGACAACGCATCGAATATGACCAAGATGATGACCGTAATCGAATGACGCGCGAAAGAGAAAGATTGGTAAGTTACTGGGATTATGCTGCTTTGCCAAGATACTCATAAAAAACTATGTGCTCACCAACAACTTATAAAACCAAGGCCATTCCGCAAAGACATCCATCATATCCCTTGTGTTGGACACGTCCTTAACTTGGCAGTTCAGGATATCCTGCGAGTTGGTCTTTCAGCACAGGCACCAGAAGAAGAAATCGTTGACGACGACGAAGAACAAATGCCTACCAACTCTAATGTGCTGGTCAAACTACGAAGAGGCGTTACCAAGATAAGGTAGTCATCAGTTAATTAAGCATTAAACTATTTTTCAAGTGATTAACAGGTTTTGATCTATTACCTTAGATCGTCACCGCAACGCTTACAGAAGTTCCTGCGTACCTTGAACAACGAAGGCTGTCCCAAACTCAAGCTCATTCCTGATATCCGTACTCGTTGGAATTCGACGTTTGAAATGATCACGCGGGCTATCGCGGTCGAGGCTGGCTACAACGCAATGTGCACTGAGGCGCTAGCACAGTATAGGTTGACTGCACAAGAATGGGAGCGCCTGAAGCAGATCCGTGCTCTCCTTGAGCCGTTCGAGAAAGTGACCAAGAGGTTGTCAGCCAGTAAGTCGCATGCCACCATCAACCTCACCATCCTTTGCTATAACCATCTGATGGACAGGCTTGAGGACTATAAGACCAGCCCATCCACACCCATCGACCTGTGCGAAGCAGCGGAAGTCGGTCTCGTTAAGCTGCGAAAGTATTATGGCAAGACTGACACGTCCAACGTTTATGCGTGCGCCACTGCAATGGATCCTAGCCTGAAGTTTGTCTGGTGGGCTAAGAGCGGCTGGGAAAGGGAATGGCAGGAGTATAGCCAGCAAATTGTCCGGGATACCTGGTCGACGTTCAAGGATCGCGCGGATGTCGATATCGAAGTGAGCGAGCAGCTGTAGGAGATGTATATGTTGTACCGGATCGACCGAAGCCAAGACGAATTAGAGGAATACATTGGCGAACAACCGATGATGCCAATGGTGGAAGCAGGCAAGCACACAGAGCTAATCTTCTGGGAGTCCCAGTCACAGAAATGGCCGAACTTAAGCAACATGGCTGCACAATACTTGGCGGTGCCAGCAACATCGACTCCTTCTGAGCGTTCTTTCTCGGCAGCTCGACATTTGCTACCATACACCCGCAATCGTTTGTCTAAGGAAACCATAAAAAAGTTAATGCTTTTGAACTCCTGGTACCCTTAAAATTTTTTGGCTTTTCCTCTTTTCTCCTTTGTTCCTGCCAACTCCGTCCCTTTTCTCTTGTCTTTGCACTTTCTTTTTCATACTTTCTTTTTCTTTTTTTAATAGATAGATATAAGTTATATAACATATTGATTTTTCTTAGAAGAAATAAATAAACCTACGCTCGGAAAAACACAACTTCACTCGTCCCTCCATTAACAATTATTCTTGCACAGTCAATGCATTTAGTTGCAATGACACGACGAATCTATAGTCGGGTCCTCGGTTCCAACCAAAGAGAACCGAGTCGGTTCCGGTTCGGTTCTTCCATGGAACCGGCCCGACCAGAACCGACGTGACCCGACTTTTGGATCGGTTCTTCGGTTCCTATGAGGATCCTTACATGGTACAGTGTACAGAAAGAGAATTGGGATGAAAGCGGGATGAAAACTTATTTTTGTAAATACCAATTTCAAGAGAAACTCATCATTTGTAGGATATTCCTTTTTGGGCTGTCATACAAATATCTTTTATTCTACATAGTCCTTTTTCATCGAAAAGATAGCCAAACAAAAACAAGGCATAAAATATGAAGCTATATAGATGCTTCTATCATATAACAAGATGAGGCCATTGTCACTCGCTGGAAGGTTGACAATGTCTGATTCTTAGTTTTCAAAATGATAAAAAGATTAAAAAAATGAAAATGGCATGTTGCGTCGCATAGAGCATTTCTATATGTATAAAAGCAAAAGCATTACATTCTACTTGCAGATTATCTTCCATGAAATTATTCAATAGTGCTTAAAGGACTGTCATCTAAATTGGAGAGATTTTTGGATTTGTATTCTCGTCAAAAACGCCATTTCAGTTTACAGGTATATATAGATATGCCCTAAGAATGAAGGCTTTTTCACCTCATTCACTCATTCATATTCCTATGTCTTCAAACGACGATGCAGTTGTACCTCGCTCACCAACGCCTTCGCCTCCTCCTTCGGACGATACAGCCATTGTCCCAGATAATAGTTATTATACATCAGAGCAGTCTGTCAAGTACATCGCGCTACGCTATTGTACAAGGGAGTGGCTGCACGCTAGTCGTAGAGAAGTAGCTGATGCTGTTGGAATCACCATTGCCACTGCTCTCCAAATAGAGGCAGAAATCTATAAAACAAATGATCAAATCAGGGCAGTATGCATAGAACGTGGAGAAGATCCAGATGGTTAGTACTATAGCAAACATGCTTTATGTAAATTAGTAAGAGGCTAATGCATATTATTTTTATTTATTGATCATCCTGAACGCCACTTCGCTTCGGCAAATACGAAATCTATTGCTCGCTGTACTCGCTTGCTTATCAATGCTGACACATGACTTACTGAACACTAAATAAAGCCATTTAAGCCTAAAATCCTACTGAGAGTCTGAGAAATATAAGCATAATATATTGTCGAGAGTAGTTGTTGATAAGTAGAATACAGTAAGACACAGAGATTGGTATGAAGATAAATCGCAGAAAGGTAAATACAAACGTGGTTATAGAGATAACGCGAAAGGTAAGTGGGGAATTGCTGTTGTTGCCTCATAACTACAGGCTGTCTTCTTGTGCAAGACAACGGGAAAGAAAGTAGTGGAATGCGTGATCCATGCAATATTATCTTTCAGGGAACGCACCTGATGGCATCCGCTAAACGCCTCTCCCATTCTAGAACTTCTGGCCCCTATGCTTCCTTCCCTTTCACTTGCTCTTCTGCTGCCTGCTCTTCTTGTACATCAATCCTTGATGATGGCTTGTTTGTAAAGAGCCTTCACCTTGAGAAAAACTCTTCGATCACGTTCAAAAAAGGCGAATAGGCGGCAGGAAGATAAGATGGTATCTGCGCTTTTCGACTACTCAAAATCCTGGTGTATAAATAGGCGCATTGTCACAAACAGAATTATCACCACGACATACATCTTCATCGAGGACATCTATCACGCTTTCCAAAACAACTGCTTTTGTTCCTCCTTTGCCTGATCTGATGGTAGGCTCGACAAAACCAGTATAGCTAATAGCTGCTAGAAGGGTTTTTGATGCAGTCCACATCGATAGAAGACAGACATGCACAACAGTGTCACATCTCGACCGAGCAGAGTTTCTTGTCACCAGTCAACGACCTCTCATCAATGACCACATTTAGCAATAGTCAAGTTTGCCATTTTGAATATGCTTGCGCATATAATCTTTACAATTGCCCTTAGTCACATTGTCTGTGCGGGCTTCAGGATAGTGCATGGCACGTTTTAAGGTCAAGTTGCATTTGCACAGAAGATGTCTGTATATGGTCGACAAGTAAAGAGTTACAGCATACTTATTCTGGGCGATAATATGGGTCAAAGTACTAGGTTGCTTAAAGCACCTTTGCTTGAATAAGTGAAAGGCGTAGGCACCAAAAAGCAAAGACTAATGGTTAAAAATGCTGCTAGCCAAGCGACAGTAACATGGGCGAAACAATAATGCTGTAAGCCAAATGAGAGACTGTTGGCCAAGTGACGATGCTGTTGACAGAAAAAAAAATTTTGAGCAAATTAGTAATTCCGTTAGCGAAAAAGAGGGCTGTTGACCAAGTGAAAATGCTGTTAATAAAATAAAAAAAATTGTAAGCAAAATAATGATGTCGTTGACCAAATGAGGGGCCGTTGCCCAAGTGACGATGCCGTTGACGAAATAAATTGCTGTGAGCAAATTAGTGATTCCGTTAGCGGAAAAGAGAGCCATTGACCAAGTGAGATGCCGTTAGCGAAATAAAAAAAACTGTAAGCGAAATAATGATGTCATTGACCAAATAAGGGGCCGTTGCCCAAGTGACGATGCAGATGGCGAAACCAAGATGGGCTTTTTAACACGTATGTTTCGATGTCCGCGGTGCAGCTTCGCAGAGGGGTGCAGTGGCAAGTCGAGTTGGAAGGTGACAGTGGGCATGTCGACAGCAATCCAGTAACAAACGAAAGGGTGTTGAAAAGGCTTCGACACGCCGACATTGTTCCCAGGGAACTTACCGAACCAGAAAAGGCAAGAATAGACACTTTGACTGCGGCTGCCACAGTGGAAATCTTTGACGAGTTTGGGTGCGTTGGTGCCGCCCGAGCTGCGTTGAACTTGGTAGAGGCCCTAGGCCGAAAGGTTCTGGAGCCGGAAAGCATTAAGCAAGAGGATATCCAACGGGCAATCGGACATCTTGTCCTAAGAGGCAAAGAACAGCAATTTTTCGACTCATTTATATTGAGTTTAGAATACAACAGCAACAAAAGCAACAACAACAATAACAACAACAATAACGACTACAACGACTACAACAACGACGACAACGACGACAACAACGACAACAACAACGACAACAACAACGACAATGACGACAACAATGACGACAACGACAACGATAACGACGATAACAACGACAACAACGACAATAATGACAATAAAATGCTGTAAGCAAATTAGTAACGCCGTTAGTGAAAAAGGGGGCCGTTGACTAAGTGAAAATGCCATTAGCGGAAAAAGGGGCCATTAGCGAAATAAAATGCTGTTAGCCAAATCAAAACGCCGTTGGCCAAATGGAAAATCTCATTGGCGAAAAAGAAGCCCGCGAACGAAATGGTAAATCCCGTAAACCAAAAAAAAAAATCCCATGAGCGAAAAAAAAAAATCCCGTTCACGAAAATTTTAGAGCCCTTGTCCAGGATTGGATTCAAAATCCTTTACTAATGTGAGTTTTTTTTTTATTATTGGAGAAGAGAAGATTATATAAGTTTATGTATTGTTAATATTAATATCTACCTGAGAGGCCAGCTTCATAGAACAGCAGTTTGATTATTTGTGGGACTGAGTTTGATGTCAATGGTTGTTCGGACATCTTGTGATTCCTAGGAGTAATGTCGCAGTATGTTTAGTATTAGAGTGTAAAACCATTGATCCCATATTAAAGCCCTGTGTACGTACTTGGTTTCTGATACGAATACTAGCTTCTCGAGAAACTCGTTTTTGATGCGAAGCTGCTTTGTATCAGAATGATACCATGTATGGAACTCAGTGTCAAAGACTTCTTGACAAATGCTGTGTGCCATGATCAGTGTGGGCGCATCCACAGCTACACTTGTTGTCGCATCTGAAGTGATGACTTTTACCACTGGTGCTGCATCCGGTTTATTGTTTTTGAAGTGGCGGATGGTGAGTCGTAAGGTGAATGTATATCCTCCTGATTGCGTATTTGTTGCTTTGAATAGCTGCACATCTTTCTATCGGACAAACTCCCATATTTCTTCGAGTTCTCTTTTGGGGGGACAAATACTTGATATCCTGAGAGTCCTGTATAGAAGACAATTACCACCAGTGCACAGATCATGATTTTGTAAGGTTTATTGCGGTCAGATCGTTTTGTAATACGTTTCGATACTGTGAGTGTTACTTCTGAAGTGCTGAACACTGCTCGTTCTCTCTTTGCTTTTAACAGCAGTCCATCATGCATTAATTCAAGAATGTATTGGTGCATTTCCTTCTTGAATGCTTTCATAATGACCATCGTCAACGTGGAATTTCTTGTGTTGGCCTAATATTTAATGGCGACGCTGGTTAAATTTCAGAATTCTTTATGTGACAGGTGTATTGTTATTCATTAACTATTGATTTCGAAGAAAAACCTTACCTCCCAAAAGATAATGTGCAAATGTTTTAGCACTGTCGAGTACTTCAACTGGTCTGTACCAATGCCGCTTGAGCATCTTGCTCTTGTAAGCATGTAAGCCTTAATCTTCACTGTAGAAATGCGTATGTAAGATATGTATATTTCATTCGCTAATGAGGGATAATCATTGAGGATAAATCAGCTTAGGGTTATATAGGATATTATTTAGAATTTTATAATTATCAGCAGTTTTTTAAAAATCGAAAAAACAAAATTGAATTTTTTGCTATAATATAAAATATAATCGCAATAATATAAGCTGATAAAAAATAGTTATTCTTAATACAGAAATTCTTATCTGCAAGTCTACTATGACTAACTCAATAGAAACTATTATGAAACAAGCTATGAACAAATATTTTGAAGATGAGGTTTTATGCAATACTATAGAAAAAAAACAAAAGATGATGGAGAATATTATAAAAGAAAAAATCAATGAAGTAAAAACAACTTATTTTTGGTATATTAACAGCAGTAATAACGTATGCATATATATATATAAAAGGGGTAATAAAGAGGGTCACATATGTCATCAGAAAATAAGAATAAATATTGGTGATAATAAACCCGACTATCTTTGTTCTCGACATAGTAAAATCCATATGCCAAAAAAAAGGAAACAAAAAGAGGAATGGGCTAATCTCTTTACTAGTAATAGTTTCTATAAAAAAGATATAAAAAAATAAAAAAAAGGAAAATAAAAAATTTTTATATATGCAACAATGGAACATTAGACTTCGCTGATATTATTAGAAAAAAAATTAAATAATTATTATATCTATCATTAATTTGCTAATAATAAAAAAAAGGAGGTATTCTCTCTAAATATATAAGGTAGATTATGCATTTTTTTAAATAAAGAAAATAAATAAAAATTAATATATATGAAAAAACATATATAATTTAAATAAATTATTTTTCTATGTTTATTATATGTTTTTCTTTCTAAAAAAACAAATCTATTATATAAATGATGTTTTTTTATATATGTAAATAAGATAACAATCATTTTTATTCTTATAAAAATTCTTTTTTTTCTTGATTCCTTCTGGTCAAGAATCTTTGATTCTTGTAAAATAAATTAAAATTTATTTTAATTTAGGCGAAGCCTAATACATTGTATTTTTTAATTTTAGAGCGAAGGTAAGCCTTTGCCTAAGTAAAATGGTACATTTTACTTATTAATATATATCTAAGAATCGAAGATTCTTGATATATAACCAGACAGAAAGGAAAAAGAAAAAATAATATTTTTATTTTTCCTACAAGTTAATATATTAATAAATAAAGATAAAATAAATGATCATATTATCATTTTATTTTACCAATAAAATTTTTAATTTCATTTTTTTATTGGTCAATATTATGAAATAAATTTTATTTATTTCTACTAGTAGAAATGGGATTAACCCATTTCTTTTTTTACATTTATATTGAAGAAAACAAGGAATAGAAAAAGAAAACAATATGTTTTATTTTTCTTAAAGTTAATGTTTCTAATAGTATTTAGAACAGAATAAAATAATTAAATTTTATAAATTTTTTTGATTATTTTCAAATAGCAGAATAAAATAGTTTTTATCTAATATTTAAAGGAAATAAATAAAAATTTATAATCATATTATAAGTTAGAGCCCTTTTAAACAAACAATAAACAATGGCCAAATAGAAAATCTCATAGGCGAAAAAGAAAGCCTGCGAACGAAATAGTAAATCCCGTAAACCAAAAGAAAAAATCCCATGAGGGAAAAAAAAAATCCCGTTCGCGAAAAGTATTGAGCCCGTGTCCGGGATTAGATTCAAAATCCTGTAATAGGAACAATGGTAGAAGGGATGTATATAAGAGAACAGGCTGGGACTAGGAGTATTTATTAAATGAGGGATGATCGTTAGACCCATTCATCCTCAGCAAAACCAATGGACTAGACTATTTTTCCAGTTAGCCTGTATTTCTACTAGGAACACTGCTCATGAGGCACTTGTAGGCAAGTGTTTAGAATAATTACCATTATTCTAGGGTTTCGACTACCGTCTTAATGACCAGCTACCCACATCATCGAAAATCAAAGATTTTCTCTGACCACCCCTAATTATATTGATCATTCTTTATTATCTAGAAATAAAACTTAACAATTAAATATATAAAAAAAATAAAAGGTAAATAATCAATAAAGTATTAAACAGCCTTCTAGGGCGGAATTTCCTGCTTTTGAAGCACTGGAGTTGGCAAGCGATTTCAGAGGCACTGAAAGCACACTGAAAGCAGTACTTTTAGAGTGCTTTCAGAGTGCTTTCATGATGGCTTTCAGAGTACTTTCAGAGTGCACTGAATGACCGTTTTGTTTACAGGTGATACACGTCTCCTGCATGCCATTCATAGCTTCTTACTGGTTGGGGAGATGTTTAAGCGGCACAGTGACATTGGCGAGTTCGTGGCTTCCTGTGCATTAAGGCTTGCTAATGATTCGTTGGGAGAAACAAACTTCCATTCCCTTTATCCAATTCTATTTGCTCAGAAACCACTCATACACCCCTTTTCATTTGCTCAAAATTGCTCACACATGCATATAGTATATTGCTCATATGTGTATATAGCCAATGATAGTGCTTTATTAGACCACACGGCACTGACGGTGACGCATCAGCACAGGTAGTAAAAAAAAATACAAAAGAAAAGCCATATAGAAACTATTCAATAAACTACACATGCTGATGGTATTCAAAAAGCAGCAGTACTAAGGGATTCTTGTTACAGCGATGTACATAGAGATTTCCTCATAAAAAAAAGAGAAAAAGTATAACTATTAAAATACATCCTATACTCTATTGCTCCACGCTGTTATAACCCCCACCCTTAAACTTACCTTATAGTACATCATCTTGTTTCGTTTTCATGGACCACTGTAGCCTAAGGAGGGATGAGATAGATGAGGTTATAACGAGCTGGTTAGTAATATGAAAGAAGTTGAAGGAATAGCTGGTGAAGTGAACTCAATCTCATTAACAGAAGTGAAAGAAAGTGAAGTTGTGTTATACTGACTTGCAGAGTGACTGTACTTTCTGTAGTCGGTCATACATACATCTGAGTGTGGTACAATGCCTGAGGCATACTTTAAAATCAAAGTGCATATGTTTAATAAAAATAACTCTCTTTATCCTTCCTCACGGTCTTGACACGGTTTAGTAAGAAAAGGAATAAAATGGCTTGCTCTGTATGTAGGATGGTTTTGGGGTTCACGGTCCTATGAAGGAAACGGCTATAATAACAGATAATCATGGCATAATTAGTTACTCTGTCATCCCTATCACCTTGTATCGAATCTTTTGTTGTCTTATACTTATCATTGTCTCCTCGTCGCTATATACGGTATGCTCTATCATCCCCTATCATGTTGTACACTGCTTAGTGGCAGAACCGACCTCTCATTTGTATTCTTAATTTTGGTCAGATTGTGACGACTGTTTTTGAGAATCATATCGCAATAAATTTGGTAGAGAAGCTGAGCAACAGTACGCTTCACACTGACCACGAAACACAAAAAGTCTCGAAGAAAACGAAATACGTCTCAAAGGAGAAGACAAGCCCAGAACCAACTTGCAGCCTCTGAAACGCGAACTAGTAGTGCAGCAGCTGGTGAAACCCAAACAAACATGTCATCTGACACAGAAGCAGAACATCAGACACTGGTAGTCGTGCATATGGAAACATCACGTATGGACATCCCAAAGTTCTTCGGTGATCCCGAGCGAGACGACCATATGGCTTTCCTAGACTAGTTCAAGGAAGCCCTCGTAGCCAACAATGTCAGTAGAGATAAAAGACGCATCGATATTGCAGGCTTAGCGATACAAGGCATTGCAAAAATATGGTTCAAAGAAGAATGTAGCATCAACCAAGGCACCGCATTCGAGGATGAAACAGATAATTGCTTTGTGCAACAGTTCAAGGCTGCATTTCTAACAAACCGTTGGATTGAGCGCTATCATACTGAGTACCAGCATCGCATGCAGCTACCGCAGGAGAAGGGCTTGGAGTACATGACGCATAAACTAGTACTGGCGAGAAGATATGCGTCCAGCCACGGATCTACCCTCAGTGAAGAACATAAAGTAGCTGATACTGCTGCAGGTCTGCGATTGGAGTACAAAGATCTGGTGGAAACTAGCAGTGTCACAACATTGGCAGAATTACGTCAAAGGCTGAGCGCAGCAGAGCGGCAAATGAATGTGATCCGGCATACCGTGGGCATCGCATCCTTGCCACAAGCAGCAAACCTACACCACTCAACGCAGCTAGCACCACATCACTATAATCATAATACCGCTCCCGTAAATCATATTGCATCATCACGTGCCAGAGCGACTGCACCCAACACCGACAAGGAAGAATGGCAAGAGTATGTCGACAATAGCATGGCTCTCCATAAAGACGAACTGTAAGCCTCATTAAAAACGATGTTGACGGAAATTCTTGGTCCTCTCCAACAAGCAGGACAAGGCCGATCTTCAAGTCGCTGCTTTAACTGCAACAGAGAAGGACATCTGTCGCGGAAATATCGGTTGCCCTGTCGATTGTGTGGTGCTGGTGAACATCGCTCTAACACGTGTCCCAGAAGGTTTGAAGAAACGAATCAGACACAGCAACCAACACGCATACTACAACGCGAGCGCCAAACCACTGAACAGGCGGATTTTCAGAGCGGCCGTCAGTGAAGACAGGTCAGACGGCCGAAACTCAACAAAATCATGTCAATTGTCTACAAGAACACCATGCATCGGATGTTCTTGCCATCACTCGCGGAAATAAGCGCACCCACGAATCGGATGCTGCTATGGAACTCGATAACCAAAATCCACTGCGTGTGGAGGGACATATCACAAGCTAATAAACAGGGTAATATCCAGGTGATAACAAGGGTAACAGGTCCATATCACCCTGTTTTTGAGCAAGGTGATATTTACGAAAAAACCGAGTAAGTTGCAGATATCACACGGTTTTAACAGTGTGATATATAGCTCATGCATGCAAGCGGGAATTGGCGTCGCTTATAATATGTATGTAGTCATGGTTAGGTTCTCTATTGCATTACATATGGACCGGGTACTATGTGAAGCAATTCCTTTACAGAGGTCCGCATATGCATATTTTAGTGTGTGAGTAGGTGTTGTAGCTATGATAAAATGACGATGACTGAATGGTCTGTCTAATAGATTTGGATGGTATATAATTATTTACGGTATGGTTGGAAGAACCGATTTTATTATTGTATGATCATTGACAAAATTTACATAAGCAATCAAGATAATCAGAAAGGGGAAGGTTTTGAAATATACTATATTGGTTAGCTGTAAAGAAAGAGAGCAAGATGCAACAACGAAATGAGACATGAAAGCAGGATGGGCGGATCGTAATCTGCAGATGGAGACCAAATGGGACACAACATAAAGATTTAAAGCAATAATTAGTTTGAAGAACAGTAGTAGTAGAGAAAGGAGATGAAACAGAATAAAGATGCCATTCAATATTTACCTATAAGTACTGCAACTAGAGTCATATACAATTTTGTAGTGACCGGTCAAGTAGATATAGGCTTTGTATTGAAAAGGAGACAAGGGCAACATGTAGAAGAACAAACGGCGTTGAAAAACGTTAGTATTCAAGCCTAGTAAATGTTTGAAAGGACCATAGAAGAATAGTAATGGAGAGAAAACTTACGATGCTCCTGTCCCACTTGCAAAGATAAAAAGGCAGTTACTCTCCAAAAACACCATCAAGAAGAGTTGTGAGTGCACGGCAAGATTACACTTATTAACAGTGGTATAACACATAGGACACAGAATAGAATAGAATACATAGTATTACCTTATAGAAGATGGATACAATACTTGCCAATCGAAAAAGGTGTTGAAAGTAGGAGGAGAGAGTAAAGTGGAAAAAGGGGAAGAAAGAAACAAGAAAGAGGTTTTGAGTAAAACGCGAAGCATAATAGAGAAACTGAATGTGCAGACTTTGCTCCATCCATCCTTACCTTGCATAGAAAGAAGAGTGCTTGCGCGAGGACCCATCCTATGATATAATGCTCCCCCCCAAAAAAAACCTGATTTTAAAACAATCCATCTTTCTTTCACTTACTATCACTTTGAAGTACTTCGAAAAAGTAAATAAACAGCAGTTAGTAAATATTGTTTGAGTGCCGCACATTGAGATACTGTATAGATGTCTACCTTAGGAGATCGCAATGCTGCCAGAGAGCAGCGTAATGCAGAACGTCGGGCTGCTGTTGAGGAGGAGAATGCCCGGAACGTCGCGTTGCGGATGGAGGATCGTCTCCGAGCAGTGGAGGCGCGAAACATGGTGCTGGAGGATCAGGTGCGAGCAATAGGGGACGTCGTTGCCAGACAGACACTGGCACAGCAGCAAGTAGCACCTCCTCTCGCCGGTAATCCAGTTGCTGACGAAGCTCCAGCGCAGGGAGCTCAAGTGGGTCGCTTGCCGGGCGTTTCTGTAAGAAGCCAAGATGTACTATTTCTGAAATATAGGTCAAGTAGCTGATTACTAATATCGTTTGATAATAGAGCGCGATCCGCCATTATCATCAGTCTTTGGGAGAGCATGGCTTCCGGTGGGTTGACGATTATCGTTCCACCTACAATCGCACTGTTCGTGGCCGTACGATATCGTACATCCAGGGTCTTGGTCAGTACGACCTTACGCACAAGCAGCTGGCCGAAAAGGTCTATTACTTTTCTCGGCAACACGCGTCGTTCGCGTCGGCAGTCGGCTGTGCTTGCAGCACAAAGAAGAGTGGCGACTCGGCGTAATAGTCGTCGCCACACTGTAAGAAAGAAAACGATCTATTTCTAGTAGAATATGTACATACATGTAATCTGACACAGAGAATAGAAACATAAGCGACGAGTGGATTTGTACCACCAGCACCAGGCCCAGCTGGAGGCGACTTACCCACGAGGGGGGCATTGCTCCGATTGGAGTATATGTCTGAAGAGGAGACCGACGACGAGTACTCCGGTGAAGCTGGAAAGCGTGTGGTTGTGCGTAAGCCACAATGGCGAAACGAGAGGGTAATTATTTTGAGCTGGTTCGACATGCTTCGACGTTAATTAAATATACTGTTGTAGGCAAACGCGTTTTTGTGCCATCTCGATGGATACCCGACGTTGACGCGAACAGATTGATAAGAGTGGATGGTGTTAGCATTACTACTCTGCCCAATAGTGCGCGAGAGCAATTGGAAGGTTGGGTAGTCGAAGTTTAGTTGAAAAAACAAGGAAGTAAAAAAAATGGTTGCACGACTGTGTCGTGTGGGTATGGGGTGGGCAAAACAAAAGTTATGCATGCAGCTGCTGTTGGTGGGGGGGGATTTTTTTCAGTGGTTGGGGAGAACGACTCATCTTTTTCTTTTTTGCCACTTCTCCACGTCACTCATGTCTTTATCAATCCTCACCATGGCACAAACAGGAATATCACTCACTTTATTCATTTAAAAACTCCAAGTGATAAGAAGCTTTCGATTAGCTTACTGCTTCTTTAATTGCTATTAGATTATGTGCTTGAAATTTGTTAACAGCATCCGACTACCATCTCAAAAGTTACTGGCAACTTCGAAAGTCCTGTAAGCCTATAAGGTGTGTATGTACTTATAGATAGTGCTTCTGTTTGCTGCTTACGTGTTGGTTTGCGAATTCACCCTAAATCTTCCTTTTTTTTCGCACTTAGGTAACAAAATGCTCTCACCAAGATATTATCGACGCGTGCATACAACACAACATGGTACTATTATAAACGCTATGGTAACAGCAGAAACATAGAATACTAAAGATTTTTAGTGGACAAAAAAAAAGAAAAAGTTATAGTTGTTTATGCTAGCATCTTTTTTGCTAACGGAAGCACTACTGTTCTGGCATTTGCATTTCTTTGTGCACCCAGTTTTACTACGGCAACTTGTCCATATAAACGATGAACAGGTACAATGCAGTCCATCGCTTCACTTCGAAAACGGCTATACCACGTTTCAAGATAAGGATCCGTAAATCGGCGACCATCGTTGTCACTGTAGATGCTGTATCATCGAACATATTCAAATACATGCTCTGTTGGCTGCCCACGAACGAACTGCACATGCCGAAAGAAAAACTGGATTCGCATGGCCAGGCCATTGCTTCTCCGCGATCGTCTATGTGGAACAGAACTTGAGCGTGCACACCACGCCGCGATCTTGCTTCAGCACTGCGGTAAGTCTGCCCCATCATCGTTATCGTCTTCATTTTCCAGTACTGGTTACTGACGAAAACTTGCCCATCACCAGCTTGGGTATAGTGAGCGAGATAATCGCCATACACAGCACAGTAAAATGCCAACAAGAAATCGTACAGTTGCTCAGGCATAAACGCTATCCGTCCATATTGCAAGGGTATACATCGGCGGCAGCGGCTCACTTCCTGTGACGTAGTGGATGGCACCAACATCCGTCGACAACGCCAAAAACGCATGAACATCGAATTGACACTGGACAACATCAGCTGCGCGTGGGATCGGCTGTACAAGGTCAGAAACTGTTCAGGAAGGAGAAATGATGTTGATGGTGTTGGAAGAGGGCTTCAAACGATCGAACGAAATCGCGAGCACCAGTCTTCTGCAAGAACTTCTTCATGAACGTCATTTCGAACGAGTCCTTTTGGTTGGTGTCGATCTCCTTGAGGTATCCGTTATAGCGCTCAAACGAGAAGAGCCAGTAAGCGTATAACGGCCCGAAATCATTGATCGTTGCGGCCAAGTGCATATGAAGGTGCATGTTCGGTGTGATCTCCTCTGGGCCATATATCTGCTCGACACCAGTACAGAACTCTGTGAGAAGAGTATCTGCTACTGCAGTTTCGTCCACGGTAATTGATGGCTTAACCAGCAAACGACAAGCGTCGACAAACTTCAACCAGTTTTGGAGGTATCTTCTAGGAAGGTGGCCGTCAAGCACAAAAGGCGAGTATACGATGCACCACGACTTCCAATCATCTGCGGTCATGAATGAGAAGCCACTTTCGATTTTGCGGTGCAAGGCAACATAATCGGGAGGGAGAACAATACCGTCCGCGAGCACTTGCATCTGTTGAAGGTCGGTTCTGGTGAGGAGGTCTCGGTCAATCCAGACCTTTGCCATACGCTTTGTTGTGCCGAGAAACAAATTATGCATCGGGTCGATGATCGTGCAACGAACAGGATCAAAGTAGCCCAAACGGTGCAGCTCTGACCATCTCGTCCCATTTGCCCGTTCCAGTTCTCGTCGAGCCATCATCGTCTCAGCATTCCGCCATTGCTCAGCATAAGCCGGTTGTCCTCCCGCGTTCGCAGCACCCAACTAGCAACGTCAAACCCGGAGTAGTCGATGTTGGTGGTTCCAGGGAAAACGTTGAATTGACGGACGCATTTGTGACAGGCACAAAGGCTCGCATGGAGGTGAAACCGCTTGTTTCCTTGCGGCAGGAATATCACAAGCATTGACGAACAACGCCAAGCGGACAAGTGTTCCCTGTGGATACTGGCACGTCCTGATGGTTTTACCGCCGTACCATTCCAACAATTCATCAACCAAGGGTCGAAGGTAATGGTTGATGTCAGATGTACTCGCTTCCCGTGGGCCAGGCATTACACCAAGAAGAATGAGGTTTTCTGACTTGTAGCGCTCAGATCGTGGTAGATTGTTTATGGACAAGTATATGGCACCGTTTGAATACGTGGAGTTCAAAAACGGGCCAAACCAATCTACGTTGAGTGTGAACAACAGTGAACGGTGCTGCTCAACAAACGGCCTGCCTTCACGATCACGAAACTCCCGCCA